TAAGAATTTGTCGAGGTTATTTTGATATATATACTATATCCGCAACAACTTTCTAAAATGGTGGATAGACTGAAAAATGACGATGATATAACGGACTATTAGTCACAAGTTATCAATCTTCTTTAATTCCCCAATAACCAAAAGTCTTGTTCGCGGCACTGGAGGCTAAATGCGAGACCCGCCGCATCACGAACCAGCGGCAGAAGTATGCTTACGCTCTGTAGTCCTTGTCTAGGACCATATTGCTGCTGTCCGTGAGGAAGTCCTCAGTTCTCATGTGCTAGAAGTCTACGATCGTCTCAAGCAGGCTTTTCTCAGACATTTCCCCCATCGAGAGAAGAACGATTGAGGACCTTGTTGGCACGTCACACCTTAGATGATGCTAAGCCGAGCCACCACCTCACGCGCCTACACCCTTTGGCAGGACCTATGACAGGTGACTGTGAAATAGTCAAAGAACTGTGGCTCAAATCCCTGACAGCCAGCGATCACTGCTCTGCTTGAGGACACGCCACTTACCCCCGTTGATCTAATAGCAGACAAAATTGTAGCGTGAACTAGCACGCGAGACATCTACATGTTTGCCTCAACGTCACGTACGAACGTAGACCTTGGTGCCAGTCGCTCCCAGGCTCAAAGAGATGGAGGTTGCCGTATTCACAGCCGTCTCACGTTTAGAGACCGTTCGTTTATTCCAGAGCCCGGTCACGATCACGCAAGGCTGTAAGTACTCACCCCCAGTGGCATCATCCAAGCCGTGCTAAGGCGCGGCTTCGGAATCGAGCACGTGTGTACGCAGGCTTTACCGTACGTTTAGGTCCGGTGCCCGCCATAGTCGAGCCCTCTACTCATATAAAGCGGTAAACTCCCGAGCTGGCAAGTAAATGTGGCCGTACTTGCTTGCCCTTCACCTCAGGTTGGCCGCCCACTTTTTGTGCACGACATCCGAACTAACGCAGGTGTCCACGTTTCTGTCGTACCACTTGGTAGCAGCAAGTCTAAAACTACGATGCTACAACTACGCGCTGCGAATGTCTCTGTCGTTCCTAACTACGGTACGTGACAGCTAATGGTCAACCTGAGGAAGCGACGACAGTATCTGTGGACGTCCATCATTTCCGATGTTCTCACAGCTATACTCGGTATCGATTTCCTACAGCACTATGAAATGCCAGTCGATTCACGTAGGCTGCAGCTAATCGATACTTCGTCGAACAGCAAATTTATGGGCTTCCGAGCTCAAACAAACGTTTACCGTATTACGGGTGTATTTCATTCGCGTGATGAAATAATCTACTCTTTATTCGAAAGATTCCCTCAGCTTACCAAACAACTGGAGGATATTCCATCGCTGACTAACCATGGAGCGCACCACATCATCACCCGCGGACCCTCAGTTACGTCAAATCCTCGCCGACTGGAACAGGACAAATTACCGCTCGCTAAAAGTGAGTTTGACGATTCATTAGCTACAGGTATTATTCGTCCTTCTCACAGTCCATGGACCTCACCTATCCACATGGTTTACAAAAAGGATGGAATAAGTTGGCAACCGTATGGCGACTACCAAGCATTAAAAATAACTACTCGTTTTGATAGCCATTGTAGATGGATTTTCTACTGTAGCAGTTGACTTTGTTTCCATTAGGTGCAGGTTGGCACTCGACGTCCCGGATCCAATAGCAAAAACACAATAATTCTGGGAGAAATCGGTCTATTTTCATTATAAAATGGAAATACAAACATTTACCCAACAATTGTTACACCTTCCAAGTCCAAATTACCCTGGTGGGTATCCGCTTCCGGAAGAATAAGTGCTTCCAGTCCAAATGGCTACAGTATCAAATCCAAAATGGCTGTAGCCATATTAAATATCAAATTTAAACAACATATGTACAGTTTAGAAGCAAACATAAAAACTTCAATATAAGTACAAAATATAGAAATAATAACAATATACAATGATAAAATCTCAAAATGGAATCAAATAGAGTACCAAAATGTCAACAGAAAGAGTCAGTCATATCATAACACAAATATATATACATGGAGGGATTTTCCAAAAAACAAAGCCTTCACAAAAGATTCTACAGCCATCCCATCCAAAAAATACATGAGATTATGGCATCTCTTAAGGGCATGGCTATTTATTCTAAGATTGATCTGATACGAGCATATCACCAGATCCCAGTCGCTCTTGAAGATATTGAGTAAAATTCTATAACGAATCCTTACAGACTATTTGAGTTCCTACGAATGCCAATTGGATTACGGAATGCTGCTCAAATTTTTCAAAGGTTTATCGATATCATAGTACGAGACTTTGCTTTAGTTCACATCTGTATTGATGATCTGCTAATCTCATCAAACTTAGATGAAAATTATTAGCATCTTGCACTGTTGTTCCAAAGCCTTTCGAGTAATGGAATTATAGTCAACCCAGATGATTGTGAACTGGGCAAGGCAGAAATAAGATTATTGGGTCACATCATTAAGCAAGATGTTATCCTATCTTGTGAAGACAAAGTATGCGCAATCATGGAGTACACTGTGCCGTCCTCAGTCAAGGAACTGAAGGTTTTTCTCGGTTTGGTTTACTTCTACCGACGTTTTATTACTCAGATCGGTTCAGACCATTAACCGCCTTACGCCACGTTATCCACGCAAGTTGGAATTAAACGATACCGAGCGTACTGCATTTCACAGATCAAAAGAGCTTTAGCTCAAGCCAGGCTCCTCGCTTATCCTGACCCATCACTCACATATAGTATAGCGGGCGGTGCTTCAGATTTCGCAATAGGAGCCATTATGTGACAGAGCATTCTGGAAGTTGGCAACCTCTCAAATTTTTTTCATGACTCCTTACTCCCACCGAGACGAGATGTATTTTGGTTGGGAACTGCTGGCAGCCTACTGTACCACCAAACATTTTCGGCACTCAGTATAGCTCGCGACTTCATCCTTTTCATTGACCATAAGCCTCTAACGTATGGTTTGCATACCATATCTGACAGGTACTCACAACATGATCTTCCTGCTATGGCTGCTGCCAAAGCAAATGGTCCCTCCGGTGCAGAAGTACAACAATCTACATCCCTTCAGTGCCAGGAAGTACCACTAGCTACACCCTAGTACTATTCTGTGTGTCAACACTACTGGTTTACCTCAACCCATTGTACCTTCGGCTCATCATGGTCTCATCTTCGATACCCTTCATGGATTGTCTCATCCAGGTATCGCAGCCACATTAAGTCTCATCGCTGCACGATACGTCTTGCCGTCCATGAATAAAGATTTCCGCACGCGGGTGAAGAAATGCTAACAGTGTCAACAATCTAAGGTGCACGGGCAGGTTTGCACCACTATCGGCACATTTGCTACGCCTGGTACTCGCTTCGATCATGTTCATATTGACACTGCAGGACCATTGCCACCATCGCATGGGTATGATCACACACTCACGTGCACCGATCGTTTCACAAGGCGGCCCGAAGCTATTACCATCACTTCTATTACGGCGGGGACAGTTGCTCACGGCTTCGTAGAACGATGGATAGCTCTTTACGGTTGTCCGTCGACTGTCACAACTGACCGACGACAACAGTTTGAGTCTGAATTATTCTCCTCGCTAACCTGACCGCTCGGTACGGAGCGCATATGCACTACCGCCTAACATCCAGCTTCGAATGGTTGAGTCGAACGGTTTCATCGCCAACTTAAAAGTGCTATTCGAGCACACGGAGACAAAAATTTGTAGGAAACCTTAGCGCTCGTCCTTCTAGGTATCAGAACGAGTTTAAAGGGAGATATTAAATGTCCCGCTGATAAATTAGTATACGGCACGACATTACGTCTCTCTGGGGAATTTTTCACACCAGAGAGCGGTGGTAATTTCAATAAATCAGACTACCTCCAACGATTGTAAGAATTTATTTGAGCGGTACCTCGGGTGTCAACTCGAGTACAATATCGACAGGTCGCTCTCCCTCGAGAGTTATCTACCTGTTCGCATGTTTTCATACAAGTTGATTCGGTACGCAAAACCTTGCAACGGCCTCACAAAGTAGCCCCTATTCGCCACAGGCACAAGAAAGAAAGAACGATAATCAGCTACAGCACAACCTGCACCAACCAAATCACTCGGTTGACTGTGGGGAATCTGTTAAAGAAATGGAAACTTTTATATACGTGTGAAGTATGATTCACAACAAGGTGGATCTGATGCCGATGTAAAGACAGTGACTTGAAAACCAGGGTAGCCTTTCTACATTTGGAGAGCTTCTGAAACTCAAAGCAACTGTCACCCAACACCAAACTCACAAATTTATGTACATACGTTGAAACTCTTCAGTTATATGGAGCTGAAACTTCGAGAAGCACAAAAGCCAGCAGTTTTTCACACAGGATACTGAAAATCCATTGGCCATACATTTTTGGCAACAATCCACCAGCTAAGGAAGAACTCAAGAAGAAGCTTTGGAGGTTGAGAGCACACACATTGAAGGAATCGCACAACTGCATCACGAGGCAAACCCTAACATAGAATGCTCAGAGCTAAAAGAATGGGACGGACCGGAGAACATGCGGCTCAGGGACTTAAAGGGAGATGTCTTTTTGAGAAAGAATTTAATTCAGGAACAAGTGGAAAGCAGAACTCAGGACAGAGTTGGTCGGAGTTCGGTAGTCGACGGCTCATGATCCACCAGAGGTAACAGGTGTAAGTAAATAAGTAGGTGGGCAAGTGTGGTACTTGAGTTGCCGAATTTGAATAGCCAGTATGAATTAACACTTGACACAAGTCTGATTATATTCTGAAATAACCTAAGAACTCCGCATTTAGGCCCGGAAAATGTTATTTCCATATCACGTGTAGATAGCGTAAAACACTGGGTAGGATAAAATACATGAGGAAATATGTCGTAATTTCGGTCTGTAGGATTTTAAATGGATTTCTTTTTTGTTCATCGCCTCTGTCGAAGTCACATACCTAGAATGGTTATTTGAAATCCAAGGGTGGCACTTTGGTGTGGTACGTTACCCTTGGCGCTTTTTCATAATGTGAGCTGCTCTGCCTTTAACTTATATATATATATATATATATATATATATATATATATATATATATATATTGAAACTCCACATAAACATCACAGGTCAAGAATATACGTATTGACATCGCGTATTCGTAACTTATAGTTACGTTATACCAGGGACTCGTTTTTTGTTTAGCGTGTCTGGATTTTATTATTGTAGACCAAAATCATGTGAATGTGTAAGCAAAATATTTGTTTACGCTAAAACTATACTAAAATCTTAAAATGTTGGCAGTAAGAACATCTTGTTAATCTATGTTTACCGAATATATTTTTCACGAGCTAGTATTAACCGATTCATTTCGTGGTGCCTGATTCTTTTTCTTTCGGTACTGTTCCACGTATTTGGTAATATCTAATGGATTGGAGTCTGACCACTTGGTCGCACTATTTACAGTCAGTCGGCGGTTATTTACGAAGTGTGTCAGGGTCGTAAGGTTTCTGGATACTGGAAGCTATCACGTTACCAGGCTGGGGACCATTTAGTTGCTACATGTAGAATGATAAGGATCAAATTCTAGTAAAAAGGAAATTTCAGAACTAAGTAATATAAGTCGATAAATCAGTTGATTAGTTTGTAGTGAAGATTGTGCGAGTAGATAGAAGTGTAAGCAAGGAGGAGGAGACGAAGATAATAAGCGAGACAGATTAAGTTAGTGATTTGAGGAAATGATGATCATGATGTTATCGTCAAACTGACCTTAATTAAGGAGGAAGTTCCTGAAAATAGTCTTAGAAGAGGATATGTTCATTAAGTAGACACTTCATTTCTGGTCTTGGACATAATATACGGCACTTACTAGTGAGCTCTCGGAAAATTTGCAGGATTTCGAGTATTCATACCCAACGCGTTCGATTACTTTATCTGTCGTATGAAGACTAGGCGCTTGAAATAGTTGTGAGAAAAACGGGCTAGGCAGTGTAATTTGAAGAAATAAATCTTGTAAAATAGTGTACAAAAACGAAATCATAGATATAATGCTGCTATCGCCACTCGTTCTGAACCCTGTCACATAGCTGTCGATCGGCTTTTTAGAATGAATTTATTTGTACATCAAAACCTGATAGTTTTTAAATTTATAAGCTTTATGGTTGTAAACCTTTGTTAAATTTTTTCCAAATGCTTTTAGCATATCAATTCCTTACTTAGTTACCCAATCGAGGTTATGTAGTCCTAACTAGTGACTCAAAAAATATTTTAATTCTGACAATCCCTTCCTACTTGATTGTCTTCACAACTATGCAGCATTACTTCGTCGTAACTAATTTAATCACATTACTGTGTACTTAGTGGATTTCACGTAAGACTAATCAAAGTAGCAACTCCAGTTTTACATCTTTCTAAATAGGGTTTTGATCTAATGTTAATTTGTCCCGATACATAAAACAAGGACTTTGGTTTATATATTTCTGTTCATTTCGTACAGTCAGAAAACAAGCGATGGAGTGCACTTCAGAACCAGATAAAGAATCAGAAAAAAGTTTAGATGAAGTGTGTGAAAAAATGAATCTGGTGGCGGAATTGAATGGGGATTCATCGGTGAAACCAGCGACGAAAAAGAAAAAGAAACATAAAAAGAAGTCTGGAAAATGCAAAAGTATGTAAGGCATTCTGTTAATTAGATCTCTTGAAGATGGTAACGATGAGATGAGGTTCAAGGAAAATGAGGCAGGAGACATTTCAGTTGACCGTAGTGAAAACGCATCTTCTACTGTTAAAGCGTCAAGCAAAACATCTAAATCTCAAGCTCCAAGTGTCACACGTCAGACAGACCCTCCTTCTATCCCTATTTGTCAATTGTATCCCAAAGGAGATTACCCAGTCGGTGAAATTATTGATTACGAACCAAATACTGATTGGTTAGTTTATCATTAGTTCATCATCATTCCTATGTTTGTCTAGTCATTCTCTAAACCATTTGAAAGCTTAGACAGGTTGGCTTATTCGAATGTGTAAACCGTTTCTAGTATATGCCTCGTGGTTTGTGTTTTTGATCGGTCAATCGTAGACAATAAACTGATTGTGGGAGCTGAAGTAATTGAGCGAGCATAGGGTATTAAGCAAGGATTGTGAATCGGTTTGTAAAATCTCTAAAGACTATGATGTATGTACTAAGCCGGTTTAGTCTTATTGAATTGCCGACAAAAGGCATGTAGGTATGTGGCCCATTATCTCATTCGGTAAATTTACCCATAGATTTAATAATATTCCGTGGTTAGATTTTGTACACAGATTGAAGCTAATTAGTACATTCCTTTCTTGTAGTCGTACAGCTATCAACCGCACAACGTCAGAAGAATGCAAAGCCCGTGACAGTGCTCATGTAGAGATCTATCAACAATTTCGTGAAGGTGCAGAGGTTCACAGGCAAACAAGAAATTATATTAAAAAATGGATACGTCCCGGTGTTCGTCTCATTGACATGTGTGAAGAACTTGAACGCACTAGCCGTGCACTCATTTTAGAACGTGGACTAGACGCGGGTTTAGCTTTTCCAACAGGTTGTTCAATTAATAATTGTGCAGCTCATTACACTCCAAATGGGGGTGATAATACTGTTCTAAATTACGATGATGTATGCAAAATCGATTTTGGGGTACATGTAAATGGTAAGTCAACATTGTTTTGATTTAATGGTAAATAAGTTATTTTACTTTGGTAAAATAGGCAGGTTTTTTTTAATATATGCAAGTATTCTTTCATGTAGTGTGCTAGTAAGTTGGTGTAGTCCATGTTTTTTATGAAGATGTACGTAATTTGGTCAGTAGCTTAGTGTGTAAAGCACCGTCGTTCCAACTATTAGGTCGTAGATCGGCTGTTTTTGATCACTGGTCCACACAAGAATTTCGCCTAGAACTGAGTATATATGTGTGCGCTTGTTATATGATATATTTGATTGAACTTTGATTATTACGTGGTACTGCATATCTATCTAAATCTATAGTCAGATGAATTGTTGCAATAATCATGTACAGTAAAATGTCAACATTTTTCTTCAAACTAATCAAGTCAGATTGATGAGTATTTTTATCGGTTGTATCATTATTTGATCAAGTAGCTTATAATATTTTCTGATTTAATTTCAGGTCGTATTATTGATTGTGCTTTCACACTTCACTTTAATCCTAAATTCGATACTTTGGTAGAGGCTGTTAAGGATGCAACTAATACCGGTATTAAGGTATGCTTATGAATAATAATATCTCTTTAATTTATTCACATGTATGCATAGTTGGTATTTGATGGCACTTAGTGAATAAATTAGTGGTAGCGGTCTGAAAATCGAGTTGTCTTTTTAATACATCAGGTGTTAGAATTCCGTTCACTGAATTAGGAGCAAATATCCTTGTGTACCTTGCGTCAAAGAGATTATCTATCAAACATTTAGTTGATTTGACTCAAAGCCTAGTACACAAAGTTATCAGCCAGTCAGACTAACAAAGTTGTACTTCTTAAATCACGTCAAAATTATATTTTATATTGTGTTATGTCAAAGAGTAGAATGTAGACGGAACTAAACAGACACGGAGTCTGTGTTTCAGTGAGTGAATGTTTGGTTTTTAGACTATTGTAACTAACTCAAATTGGACCAACTTATGGCTGATAAACTTGGAGAAACTGTGATGCAAGTTTAGGCACTCCGAGTGATTGCACTACTACGAATACATTCATTCTTTATTTTTCGGGTAGTGCTGAGCGTGGTACTGATGTTTGGGCGACCAAGATAAGAAACAAGTGTTTTTAAAGGTAGGATATTTCAGTCTTTCTATTTTATGATACGTTTGAATCATCAGTCACTAACTTTGGAAATCACACTATATTTGGATTTACTATTGATTTGTGACCATTATTTCTATAAATTTAAACACGCATAGTCATGAATAACTTATTTTGTCTGATACTAGGCAGCTGGTATTGACGTACGTTTGTGTGATGTTGGAGCAGCTATTCAAGAGACAATGGAGTCCTATGAAGTGGAATTAGATGGAAACACTTACCAAGGTAAATCGCTCACTATCATGCTTTGAATGAGTTATTCGTTTGAGAAAGTAATCCAAGTTTCCGTTATTTCTGTTTATTCGATTATTTGTTTTTACTGTGAATGAAGCAAATAAAAATTAGACACAACTTTCACGTCTGCCACGTAATATTTGTCTAATGGAAAACAGACGAAATTTCACTTATCTATAAATATACATATGTGTATATATATTTCGTGGCAATTTCTTTTGTGATTCGTGCAAAGGACTATCACAAATAGCTGCAACTTCTGTTGAAACTGATGTGATAACATTAGAATATAATATGTGGCCCTAAATATTGCTGTGATTTCTTTCCAAATTCGCAATCTCCCTGTAGTTCATTGAAAAATAGTCTGAGTTGTTGCTGACATCCTTACGCTGAACCACTAGATACAAGTATGTCGTTTAAGTTTAGTCAGTCAGTTGCAACGTAGAACTTCGTACGTATGTACATAAGTTCAGGTTGCCGTACCACATTAGCACAGAGACGCAAATTTCAAATCAAATTCCATAGTGATAGAGTTAGTAGAGGTATTAATGGTAATGAAGAAGACTAAGGTTTGAAGATTTTATTCAAGAAGTATAATTCAGTGAGATAAGGTTAGAAAGATAAAGCTAGAGGTGCTGACGAATCCAGAAGATTAGGATTTGAGAGAGCACAACGAATGGATGCACTTGTGTCATTGCAAACGATTTTGAGCCCTGTCGTTCAAGGTCTCTAAGCATTGGTGACTTTCGTCTCGCGGACCCCAAACAGGTAGCCTACATCTACCAACCTGACTCAGTCCACTTGTCAGTGACTTCATGGATTTGTGCCATGTTTTGGTCTGGCCGACCCTAGCTTTCTTCCAATCCACTCCTACACCACAAAACGTAGCTCGTTGAGGCAGTCGGTATTTAGCCACTCGCAACACATGTCCCAACCACCTCAACTGATGAAGTTTCACCACTTCATCTATTTATTTGCCATCCTTACCTAGTACTCGTTTCTTAACAACAGCATTGCTTACTCGGTTGTCCCACGATATATGATCAATGCTTCTAAGACATCTATGATCGAGTACCAGCAACCTACGAACATCTACTCTTAACGGCCATATTTCGCATCCATATAGGAGAACGGAGCAAACTACTGCGCAGTACACTCGTCCTTTGGTCAGCAAACGGATATCTCGCCTACGCCATAAACGGCATAAATTGGCAAAAGCGAATCGAGCTTTCTGTATCCGTGCTGAGATTTCGTCAGTCACCAGGCTATCAGCACTAATGAGACTCCCCAGATAAGTGAAGCGATCAACACGCTCGACTACTTCACTCCCTATCACTAGTTCAGGTGCCGATGCAACCCAGTCTTGAAGCAACATTTTGCATTTCGAGGGGTAACACCTTAACCCGAACATGCTTGCATTGTTGCTTAGGGTAGTCAGAAGACTGCATTTTGTCAGCGTCTTCACCGAATAGAACTATGTCATCGGCATGTTCTAGGTCAGTAAGCGACTTTCCTGGTAGAAGGTCAACACCTGAAAAATCTTATGAACTTAATGTTAACTCTAAGAGGATGTCTACGACAAAGTTAAACAAGAATGGTGAGAGTGGACAGCCCTGACGGACACCACTTGAAGTAGAGAATTTTGATGGCAGTTCGCCATAGGCTCTCACTCGACCAGCTCGAGTAGAGTGCTTGTATAAGGTTAATGTACTTTGGTACACCTTTCAATGACAGACACTGCCACAGAACCTCACGATCCACTGAGTCAAATGCCGCTTTTAAGTCCAGGAACACAACTATTGTCGGACGTCTAAATGTGTGTCTGTGTTCCAGGACCTGTCGTAGTGTGAAGATGTGGTCTAAACAGCCACGTCCAGGTCTGAAACCAGACTGGTTTTCTCGAGTCTGCTCTTCACGAGCTCTAGTTAGGCGTCTAAGTATAATGGAGGCTAACAATTTAGAAACTATATTAGTTAGACTTATTCCCCTGTGATTGTCACAAGAAGACTTTTTCCTTTCTTGTAGATTGCGACAATTAGCGACTGAGACCAGTCAGACAGACAGACAGACAGATACGACTTAGAACTTCGTACGTAAGTACATCAGTTCAGGTTGCCATGCCCCATCAGCACAGAGACGCAACTGTCAGTTCAAATCCAACAGTGATAGCAATAAGTCAGTCAGATGGGATTACGTCCAGTTCCCAGATTCTACTTAAGATCTCAGTCAGTCTAACTGTTAAAACTGGACCACCATCCTTAAACATCTCAGGGGTAAGCATATCAGGACCTGCTGCTCTACATCGCTTCAGATTTCCTATAGCTTTCTCAACTTCATGTAGACTAGGAGGACTTAAATCGATTGGCCATTCAGGATGAATGGGGATCGTGGGCGACTAAAGTGTGGCTCTAGGCCTGTTGAACTAATCCCTTAAGTGTTCTGCCCATCGATCCAATTTTCTGGATTGAGAATAAATGATACAGCCATCCTTTTCCCAAATAGTCTCACTCGCATTTGGGTTCCTAATACCGGTTTCTTTGATAAGGCGGAAAAGTTGTCTAGTGTTGCCTATCGCCGCTGCCTTTTCCATCGCTTTTGCTTTCGCCACCCACCACTGTTCACGGTCGTTACGTAGGCTTTTTATAAGTCTGCGCCTAAGCTGACTTCGCTCTTCGTCATGTTCAGAGTCAGATGGGATGCATTTTCGAGCATCCATCATTCCAGTGAATGCGACTGAAATCCACGGCTTCATCCTAGGCTTATGGTTTACCTTAATAGCAGATATCACTGCTGTTTCCACTGCCTTTTTGATATCATTCCAACCTGCCTCCGGATGGGAATCACTTGCATGGTTGCCTGATTGTTTTTCTAGTTCCTCCTGAAATATATTCTTAGCTTGATTATCATTAAGTAAAGCCCTAAGAGGCTTCCTTACGGTTTCTTTCCTACGTCCAGTTGGGCACAAACAAATACGCACTCGCACTAGGGCATGATCTGAATCTAAACATGTGCCCCAGAACGAGCGACAGTCCTCTATCGAACCCCTCCATCGGTGGCTGATGGCGATATGATCTAGTTGCGTCCAACGTTGAGACGACTTCGGGGGTCGCCAGGTCAAAAGATGTTTTTCCTTATGCTTAAAATTAGTGTTTGCTAGAAATAGTTGGTTATCTGAGCACAGTTGCAACAGACGGTCGCCATTGTCTGTTCTTTGAGCCGCGACACTATAACATCCACCTACTTACTTACTTTACTTTCGCCTGTTACCCCCAATGGAGCATAGGCCGCCCACCAGTTTTCTCCAACCAACTCTGTCCTGGGCTTCTCTCTCCAGTTCTGTCCAATGTTTGTTCATTCCTCTCATATCTTTCTCTATTTCTCGGCGTAGTGTGTTCCTTGGCCTTCCTCTTTTCCTTTTGCCTTGAGGGTTCCATGTGAGGGCTTGTCTAGTGACGCAGTTGGGTGCTTTCCGTAGTGTATGTCCTATCCACTTCCACCGCTTCTTCCTGATTTCCTCCTCCATTGGAATCTGACTTGTTCTCTCCCACAGTTCGTTGTTGCTGATGGTGTCTGGCCATCGAATACGAAGTATTTTACGTAGACAGCTGTTAATAAACACTTGTATCCTCTGGATGATGGCTTTGGTAGTTCTCCATGTTTCCGCTCCATACAGTAGAACTGTCTTGACATTTGTATTGAAGATCCTGATTTTGGTTTTGTTTGAAAGTTGTTTGGAGTTCCAGATATTTTTCAACTGTAGAAATGCAGCCCTCGCTTTGCCAATCCGCGCCCTCACATCTGCGTCCGATCCACCTTTCTCGTCGATGATGCTGCCAAGATATGTGAAGGTGTTAACGTCCTCCAAGGTATCTCCATCAAGAGTGATTCGGTTGGTGCATGTTGTGTTGCATCGGAGAATTTTGCTTTTTCCTTTATGTATGTTGAGACCTACTGCTGCAGAGGCTGCTGCTACACTGGTCGTCTTCTCTTGCATTTGTTGTTGAGTGTGCGATAGAAGAGCCACGTCATCTGCGAAGTCCAGATCGTCCAGCTGCGTCCTAACTGTCCAGTTGATACCGTGCTTCACTCCAGATGTTGACGTCTTCATAATCCAGTCGATGACCAGGAGAAAGAGAAAGGGTGAGAGTAAGCAACCTTGCCTGACACCGGTCTTCACCTCAAAAGAGTCTGTCAGCTGACCTCCGTGTACGATTTTGCAGTTGAATCCATCATAAGAATTCCGTATGATGTTGACTATTTTCTCAGGCACACCGTAGTGTCGAAGAAGCCTCCACAGTGTTTTCCTATCCACGCTATCGAATGCTTTCTCGTAGTCGATGAAGTTGATGTAGAGTGGTGAGTTCCATTCAATTGATTGTTCCACAATGATCCGTAATGTAGCAATTTGGTCAGTACACGATCGATCCTTACGAAATCCGGCCTGTTGATCTCGAAGTTGGGCGTCTACGAAGTCCTTCATTCTGTTTAACAATACTCTGTTGAAGACTTTGCCTGGTATTGAAAGAAGAGTGATGCCCCTGTAGTTCTCACTCTTGCTCAGGTCGCCTTTCTTTGGTATTGTGATGAGGTATCCTTCTTTCCAATCTGATGGTACTTGTTCCTCATCCCAAATCTTCTTGAAGAGAATATGAAATATTTTCGCAGTTGCTTCCACATCTGCTTTCATTGCCTCTGCTGGAATGTTGTCTGGTCCTGCTGCTTTGCCGCTCTTGATTTGTCTGATGGCTATACTGATCTCCTCAATCGTGGGTGCGCCAATATTAATTGGGAGGTCCGTGGATGCTGCTTCGATGTTGGGTGGGTTCAGTGGAGCTGGTCGATTCAATAGTTCCTTAAAGTGCTCTACCCACCTATTTCGCTGTTCGTCAGTGTTGCTGATTATTTTCCCTTCCTTGCTTTTCACTGGTCGTTCTGGTTTACGATAGTTTCCGACGAGCTTCTTTGTAGTTTCGTACAATTGTCTCAAGTTTCCTTCTCTTGCAGCCTTTTCCGCCGTCATTGCTAGATCTTCCACATATTTTCGTTTGTCAGCTCTGATGCTCTTCTTCACTTCCCTGTTTGCTTCTGTATACTCGGCTTGCGCCTTAACTTTCTCTGCTCTTGTTCGGCAGACATTGATAGCTGCCTTCTTGTTCCTCCTTTCTTGAATTTTTTCAAGAGTACCAACAGAGATCCATTCCTTGTGATGGTGCTTCTTGCGACCAAGGACCTCCTGACATGTTGAAGTGATTGCCTCCTTAATCCCTTTCCAATTGTTCTCCGCGGTTATTTCCTCTCCTCTGAGTAGATCCTGCAAGGCCTGGAACCTATTGCTAATAGCTGTCTTGAATTCGTTGAGTCTTACGGTACCCCGAAGAAAGTCCGTATTAAAATTCTGTGGTGCTGTCTGCCTCGTTGTCCGATGTTTCTTGAGTTTCAGTTTCATTTTGGAGATCAGCAAGTGATGATCTGAAGCTATATCAGCTCCTCTCTTGGTTCTCACATCCTCCATGGTCCTTCTGAACTTTTTGTTGATACAGATATGGTCAATTTGGTTTTGAGTAGTGTGATCCGGTGAAATCCATGTGGCTTTGTGAATGCGTTTGTGCGGGAATATTGTGCCACCGATGACCAGTTTGTTGAAGGCACATAGGTTTGCAAATCTCTCACCGTTTTCGTTCCTTTCTCCCAGTCCATGTCGTCCCATGATGTCTTCATATCCAGTGTTGTCCATTCCAACCTTGGCATTCAGGTCTCCCATAAGAATCGTCAAATCCTTTGGTGAACATTTATCGACGACTGACTGCAGCCTTTCGTAGAATTGATCTTTAACGTCGTCATTGTAGTCATTGGTAGGTGCATAACATTGGATGACGTTCATTGTAATGTCCTCTTTCTTTGTTTTGAAGGATGCTTTAATGATCCTCGGTCCATGAGATTCCCATCCTATCAGTGCCTTTTGTGCATGTTTGGACAGCATCAGTGCAACTCCTAATGTATGTGAAGCGTTTTCCTCTTCATGACCAGAGTATAACAGCAGTTCCCCTGAAGCAAGTCTCAGTTGTCCTACCTGTGTCCATTGCATCTCACTGATCCCGAGCACCTCGAGGTTGTATCTTTTCATTTCTGCCGCAACTTGAAATAGTCTTCCAATCTCCCACAATGTACGAACGTTCCATGTACCTAAAAAAATGGTTGCTCTGGTTGTCAGAAGTGGCATCGGCCCCGTGACTTACGAGGGGACTCGGCTTTCATCACGAGACGTCATAATTCTTCTTCCAACTCCCAGGGCAGAGTTTAAATGGTTTGAATTATTTTTTCTGGTTAGCGTTTTTTTGGCAAGTTAGATTTCAACGGAATGGGGCCGCCAACCCCATGTCCAACCCTCCTCCTTTATCCGGGCTTGGGACCGGCAGTAGCCCCTAAGGTTCTACTGGCGGAGTTAACATCCACCTAGGTATCTTTCATTTTCACTTAGTCTATCTACTTGAGCATTGAAGTCACCAGCCATTATAACTATATCAGAGCGCCTAGCCTTTTGGAGGAGGTCCGAAAGCTTTCTGTAAAACTCATCTTTCACATCGTCTGAACTGCAGTCAGTGAGGGTGTAGGCTGATATGACGAAGAGGCAACGACTGGTGTCCCTATCCTTTCGAATCCTTACTGTCCCGTTTAGTCGGACGGCGCACAAGCGACTATCTACAAGGATCTAGTCAAGGAGAGTTTGTTCTGCCCTACGACTCAATGCTATACCTACACCAGCAAGACCCCTGGAAGCAGCATCAGGGCTACCGGATACACGAAGGGTAAATCGAGTTGTTTCTTTATCTTCACATGGTGAGGTCAAGTGAATGATGCTACTTGGATCCTGTATGCGCGTTTCCGTGACGCAGCACACATCGATTGCACGAGATTCTAAAGTCCTAGCCAATGAAGCCTGTGCCCTATTTGATACAATGTCCGTACATTAAATGCTCCAACATGTAATCTAGAGCGGGGTTTCAGGAGACCAGAAATGACGTTTCGTGAACGCGCATTGTTTGCATTAGCTGTATAGTGTGATAAAGGAATGTGAGAAGAGTTAGTCGTGGAGATAAGAGAGGCATTAGGGGGTGTAGAAAGGATTTGATTTTGACCAAGTTGATCTCGTTTGCTGTTACGGGTATGAGGGCGGTTGTCACTTCCCGGCTACCCACACCGTGGAAGGTATTTTCTAGAGGAACCTGAAAAGGAAGATATATTAGCGTTGGTCTTAGAGACCTGGGTGCGTGACCGCAGAGTCCAAGGGACAACTGCTTGAGGCCGGTCACGCACGGCCTTTTTGTTAAAGGTTTTTGGAGTGTTAGCTCCGCTCTTGAAAGCCCTTAGAGGGCACACTTACCGCCGGAGACGGAAATCCGTGAGGTAGGGTGAGGTGTGACATTTTTAGGGTCGACCTTTTCTAACCCTTCCTTACTTGTGAGAAGGTAGCATCGCTGCATATACTGGTTGTCCGAAGGGTTGGGTCATCACGACAGGCAAGCCCGACCACCTCGTGAAAAAGCAGCTTCGGTATAGGGATACACCTGACAACCTTAACTACCTGGTCGATGAATATTTGGAAGGTTCGAGCTGTATTAGTTTATCCGACGCTTAACGGAGGCTCGTGAAAAACGGACTTGAGAAAACCAGGCTGGGTTTTGTTCTGGACGTGGATGTATAGACGAGATATTCATACTACGTCAGGTCCAAGAACAAAGACACGTTCAGACGTCTCACAATAATAGTATTTCTCGACCTTAAAGCGGCATTCGACTCAAAGTCGCTTGCGATTTCGCTGGTGCATCCACTCTCTGAATTCTTTCGAATACTAACCTTCGGATTTCCTCTTCATCTTTATCTTTCTCTTCCTATAGTTATCTCACTGAACTATACTTCTTGAATAATATCTTCCTTCTCTAATATTCTTCGTCACCAGTAATTCTTCTATTATCTCCACCAGTATGGGATTAGAAGAGTCAGTGACGTCTCTGTGCTAATGCGGTATGGCAACCTGAAATGACGATCGTACGTACGAAGATCTACGTTGTAATTGACTTACTGACTGATCCGAAAGTCATTCGCAAAAATTCTGATGAAGTGATGAAGACCGTTTTCGGCATATCCTCATACGCAAAGGGAGTATGGCAATGAGCTGTAACAAGATCATTTTGCGAAAAGATCAAGGCATCTTACATATCGTTACAAATGTCATTGGATTTTTTGATTCGTGCAAAGGACTATCACAAATAGCTGCAACTTCTGTTGAAACTGATGTGATAATGCTGAAGCACTAGATACAAGTATGTCGTTGAAGTATAGAGATACGCCTGACAACCTCTAACTACCTGATCGATGAATATTTGGATGTTTCGAGCTGTATTAGTTTATCCGACGCTTAACGGAGGCTCGTGAAAGACAGACTAGAGAAAACCAGGCTGGGTTTCGATATGGACGTGGATGTATAGACGAGATATTCATACTACGTCAGGTCCAAGAACAAAGACACACGTTCAGACGTCTCACAATAATAGTATTTTTCTACCTCAAAGCGGCATTCCACTCAAAATCGCTTGCGGTTTCGCAGGTGCATCCACAACTCTGTATTCTTTCGAATTTCAACCTTCGGATTTCCTCTTCATCTTTATCTTTCTCTTCCTAAAGTTATCTCACTGAACTATACTTCTTGAATAATATCTTCCATATCTAATATTCTCTATCACCAGTAATTATTCTGTTGTCTCCACCACTATGGGCTTAGAAGGAACAGTGACGTCTCTGTGCTAATGCGGTACGGCAACCTGAAGTGACGTTCGTACGTACGAAGATATACGTTGTAATCGACTAACTGACTGATCCGAAAGTCATTCGCAAAAAGTATGATGAAGTGATGAAGACCGTTTTCGGCATATCCTCATACTCAAAGGGAATACGGCAATGAGCTGTAACAAGATCAATGTGCGAAAAGATCAAGGCATCTTACATATCGTTACAAATGTCATGGATATGTGGCACTGGATAACTATTTGTCTTCTATGGGCATCACTACAGATCTAACTGTCAATAATTTTGAAGCATGAATATTTATGTTGACTATGAGTTCGTGCAGCATTTCAATTTCGTAATTTTGTTACTTTTATCCAGTTAAATTGATTGTTTAAAATTTTACTGTTTAGTTATTTGTAGACGTTATTCTTTTTAACATATATTATGATAATTGGTATATTAAATTACTGATTATTGTTGTATCCTTTCAGTGAAACCCATACGTAATTTAAATGGTCATTCTTTGGGTCCTTACCAAATTCATGCAGGAAAAACTGTGCCAATCGTACGCGGAGGGGAGCAAACTCGTATGGAGGTATTTGCTCTAATCATGTGTAGTTTTCACGTTATTTTCATTTAAAATCACATTGATAACTTTTTATACTTACCTGTCTTGTTATGACGTATGTTTTTAAGGAAAATGAATATTATGCGATCGAAACGTTTGGTAGTACAGGAAAAGGTTATGTTATCGATGGGGATGAAGTTTCGCATTATATGAAGAACTTTGATGTTGGACATGTTCCTCTGAGGTAATTTTAATTACTTTGTAGTCATTCACTTAAGTTACATTTCTAGTTTACTAATGTTCCGTTAATGTGACTGTGTAATTATCTCAGTTTTGAAAAAGTCGGATACTGTTTGGCAATGTAAACTAGTACATGAAAAGTTGTGCATGTACTGTTAGCTTCGTTTCTGTCTCTCTGTAATTCTGAGTTCAATGTTACCCCGCCCCACTATCCATAGCTTTGCAACTCATCCTGTAATGTTGTCCTTCCCATGATTATTTTTTGTCGGTTATAGTCTGCGAGCTACAACAACTACAGGTTAGTTGACTTGTGTTCAAACATAGTTCTGCAAAGTTCCAAGTTTGTGTATACGTAGTTCAATATCTAATGGTGTGGAATAAGTTACTGTTTTTAAGCAAGTTTAGCAAATATTTAGAACACTTTATTAAACAGTATAATTGTAGAAAATTTGCTGGTTCTTATAGAACTGGTATGTTTGTTATTCTGTTTTGAAATGTACAATCTTTTCACTTTTTCCCTTATTTAACAGGTTAGCCAGATCGAAACAACTGTTAAATGTAATTGATCGTAATTTCAGTACACTTGCATTTTGCCGTCGTTGGTTAGATCGTCTAGGTGAGACAAAATATCTGATGGCCCTCAAAAATCTATGTGACGTGGGAATAGTAGATCCATATCCCCCATTGTGCGATCAACGTGGTTGCTATACTGCTCAATGGGAGCATACCATTCTATTAAGACCAACATGTAAAGAAGTTGTATCTCGTGGGGAGGATTACTGAGTAGCTTCGGAGTTTCCAATTCAGGGTTCACTATAGACGTTATAAATTTTGTTATTTCACTGAGATTTATTTTCATTCGAACGTGTATCCAAGTTAATGTTTGATACAGCATTTGACTATGTCTATCATCATTGTTTTGTATTTCCAGCACATACGATTTTCATTTCTCTTTCCTGTATTTTGTAACATTAATTGGTGTTTTATTTTAGCGGGAAGTTTATAGAGTGTAAGTGAATTTTGAAAGTTATGTACTTAGTCAACGCGACATATTCTACAATGTGGCTTTTGTTAGCCTTTGTTTCTGTAAATGTATTCGATTTCCCCTCTGCTTAAACGGTCACGTCATGGTTTCAGCAGGTTATTATTACTTTTCGTTGTTGAGCAAGCTGTTATTAGTAAGAAATAAAACACCAATCACTCAAAGAATTTGGCGTGGAAAGAAGAAGAGGCTGGTTGAACTATGTTAGTCATGTCAGTGTTGGCCTATCAATTGGTGTAACTTTCTTCTGAATGTGTCGACAGATGGAGCTTCAATCACATGTTAAGGTAACGAGTTTCACTGATTGACGACTCGATGGGAAAGTCGTTAGTCAGCTGACAAGTAATTTGTTTCGCGTTTGTGAGTGCTGTCGTAAATTCTTTTTTTTGGAAAGCAAGAAAAAGCAGGAAATGTCAAGTGTGAATTGTGGATTCTAAACAGCTGAACGAAATACCAATGGTCCTAGTATATCTTGAACGTGGACAAGACATAAGCAAGCAAACGAATCTAAAGTACGCACTATGAATTTGTATTGTATTATTGCATCAGATTTAGACAATATGAAATGCTTAATTGTATATTGAACACATTTACTGTTGACCAAACACGTTGAATGTCTGTCTAAGTGTCTGTAATGTAGTCTTGGATTTACTGCGCAAATTTTTCATCAATTTAAAAACTGTGATTAAGTTGCTCTCGTATGTGATAAAGGAAATTGGTCTGATTTAACTAGCGTCTCGTCAAACAGCATCTTTGCGATCGTGGTAATCAACTTAGTTGCAGTTCTTTGAACCTTTCCCGCAACTGTATTATTTAGTTAGGGAATGGCTGCTTGTATGCAATACTCGAATTTGGAACGAACAAATGCTGTGTACAAAGTCAAAAATGTCTTAACGTTGTCATCGACATTTGTGACATGGCAGGCACACGCCGTCTTTCGGGCTTGATCAATGGGATATAGCGGATATCCCAACGAGTGTTTTCAAATTGGGTAGGTACCCATCAGTATTCTTGGGTGGTATTTATAATTTAGAAGGGATTTACTAGACGGTATTTTAGGAGATCCACCTGCAGAGTATTTGTGTAGTGGAACAGGTTAGTAGGCTCGTATTTGTTAGAAAGTGCTGATTGTAAGATAGAGTTCAAACAATGGAGGAGAAATTGAATAAGAATCTGAGAGTCCGTTCAATTAAGTCAAAAGTGCAACAAGAAGAGTGGAGCTTGTGAAAAGCATTGATAATAATATTGTTTATCATCTATCATCACTTTTTGATCGAATATCAACCTCTAGGTCATACTGTAATTCCCTGAGTAAGTATTTTGCAGGTCATCTTGGTAGAATAGCAATCACAGCAGAAAGTTGGAAACATAGGCTCAAGGAGCGACAAGCGTATGAGAGCGACGGCGGTACCACTGATTGGTCGCCTTTTAGTGGTGACTGAGTCGAGATTGACTATGTTCACCACCAAATATTTATTACCATCCCATCACCAATTCTTAAAATAAATCCCGGGTTAAGAAATATGTTTTTAGTACAGTTAAACAAAAGTAGTACAATAACAAGTGTTCCTTTTCACCAATCGCGTTTTATTCGTAGAAGTGTTCCACTGCAGTCTCGTCCTCAATCAAAAAGCTTGAAACGAACAAGGTGTTCTGCCGCACACACATGGATGCATTGAAGTCATCGCCTCCATCATCAATGTTTGTCTATCGGTAAACCCACCCTCCCCGTTTTGTGATACTGCGTTCAATTAAAGCGATTATAAGATGATATATCTTGTCCTACTCGACGCTATTTATTTCTCATCCTGTTACGAAACACTATTTCTGTAAGCTGGATATTAAAAGGTTATCGTGTTGTTACAACTCATGAACCATGGGTTGTTCATCAGTGCAGTACTGTAAATTGCTATTGCGGGAAGCACGGATTTCCAAACAAACTACAAGCATTTGGAGTGTAGTATTGGGAAGATGTTCATTAAAGTAGGCTGAAAAGTGTAGGAATATCAGTTAGAAATATTACGATGGATGATGAGGATAAATTTGTCTATTTTCGAATTGAAAATTTGTGAGAGATCTGCCACCATATAGAAGGATTATTTGCAGCCTTCAGAGAGGAATAAACATGGAAGGGCAGACCAAATTTCATATGGTTTAAACATGTAGTAAGCAGATGATTTATGAGTAGACGAAGCAGTGCCAACCCGGGCCTTATTATGAAGAGCCTCAAGCCTATGTAGTGATTTTGTCATGATTATTTAATAGGAACACTCTACCATATCTTCTGAGTAGGGAAGATTTCCTGAGTTATTTTCTAACTTCTGAATTGCAAACAACAGATAATTTATCACGACGTCCGTATATACATGAGCCTTGAATGAAGACAGAAAGAGTATTTCAGCTTGTACAGGAGCTTGAAGACTAGAATGATTTTGAACCTTGGCTTTCTTTTCCATTTTGGTTCAACACCAATGTTTTAGAACTGGGTGGGACCGTCAGTGAGTGAATTAGTTCCAAGTATTTCGCTACTGAAATACTTCTTTATTCCTTCTAACTTCAGCATATCAGATAGGCATAAGGCGAAAAATAAGAAAGAAAAGTACTCATCAATAGGCCTTACAAATGTGTTGTGAACAATAATTCTAGAATCGTTATGGAAGGAATTATAATAAGCAACAGAGAGCAATCCTCTCATTTGAGATACTGTGGTGGAAATACGTTTAGGTATGTTCATGCTGTGCGAATGATGCGCTCCAAGGTCAGTTACTGACGCAAATTTGGGCAATACAGGTTTTTGCTAAGTGTGAGACTTATTTTAGCGGGCGTCTTCAAATTGTACCTCGACATATTTCTCTGTATTTAGTTCTAATACTCACACCACTCATCTACTGTGTTTGCATTAAATGTCTTACATAACATGTTAGTCTTATGGATGCCTTTTAAGTTATTAAGGTGAAGAGCTTGAATTACATCGCTCAAAATCTTTTGCAATAACGGAAGTGCATCCATTCTTCGTGTTCTTCCAAATTCCAATCCCCTAAATGTTAGTTATTTTATAACTAATTGTAGTTATGTCATAACTAACCAATCAGATTGGTTAAGCGCTCACCACGTTATCTTGTCTGACAGGTCTATAAACTTTCTTTGTTGTGAATGGCCTATCGATTGAAGGATGTTATTATTTTATTTATATTGCTGTGACTCATGTTTTTATTCATTTTCTAAAGACACGCTATACTGGTTGGTACGTTTGCTCATCTTACTTGATAATTGTAATTTCCTTATTTATTGTAATTTAATCGTTCTTTTTTTTGTTTGGAAACAGATAAAGTTTAAAACCAAGGTTTCATCGTTTTGATTTTATTGTCGACTCCGTGATCAACAGTATTTGCGTTTACAGTTTAGAATTACATGTGTAGGCCAAATTAAATCCTACACTAAATACTTCAGTACCTTAATATTTCCCTTCTCAAGTTTATTTCACTAGATTCTACTTCTGGAATAATTTCTTCTCCATTACTGCTAATATTTCTACTATCTGTGATACTATGGGAATCGAATTGACGATTCTATCTCTGTACTGATGTGGCATTGCAACGTGGACTGATGTTCTGTCTTATGCTTTCCGATTTATTATCATAATCCAAGCTGATTATTTTATAATTAGTCGGTCACTATTTGAGCGCAATCCGAAGTTTGAGAAGGTTAGAATTATCTGTGACAAGACTACGATTCAAAGTCAGACCGCTAAACAACCAGCCATTTGCACCTTAACAATACCCCAGCATTGCTCTAGCGAAACCGGTAAAATCCCATCAACAGACTGATAGAAATTCAACTAGAAAATGTGTCGCATGCCATAGCCAGTGGAGTGTGCAATAATATGTCGAGCAGACGGGGATTGTTTTGGACTTCGGACAACTTAACTAATTCATTCTTCCAGAGTTATTCGCACTGACCTCGTCAATTACTCGCTTCTATCGTGATGGCTTTTATTTGAGTGTGTGTGCATGCTTATTTTTGCTATCACGCGTCAAGCCTATTTGTGTCTGACTACAAAAGGTTAGTTATGCCTCATCGCGTGGAGTTGGCTCACTCGCCTCCTTTACTTTGCATTGATGCTGTGTATTCTCATGTGTGAACGAGTGCATGAAGTAAACCCATCCGACCGAATTGGTGTTTGGCTTCTTATAATCACCGTCGCGCAACGAGGTTCGCCTTAGGGAAAATATATTTCATAGCATATTCAATCATTCGTCCGAATTGAGATACACGCCAATATGGAACAGTCTTCGCCTAAATATACGGGTGGCAGATGGAGTGCATATGTTTGTAAGGTTTCTTAATAAAGCCCCAATTTGTACTGCTTCGTTTACTCAAGCATCATCGGTCCGCTACACGTTTAAGCCATATGGAATTTAAGCGGTGTTTCCATTTGTATTCCTCTCCGAAGGTTGCAATTAATCCTTCAACATGGTTACATATCCCTCCATACTTTTTTATTCAAATAGTCAAACAACCTACCTGGTTGATCGACACTGGTCACGGTATGAATATCCAAGTCAGGATTGACAATGGAATACGGTGTAATTAGTTATCTCCAACTGCCGGAACCAGAACCGATGAACGGACCATGAACGGAAAAATTTACTCAATAATTGCAAATTCGATTCAAAAGCACAACAATATTGACATCATATAAACTACAATCGTCTAAATAACAATAATAAGTAAAATATCATCCATACCTCTTTCACAGATTCCCGCCAGTTCTACATTACAATACAAACTGAGATACAAAGCAGGAGCAGGATTCAGGAATAACGGTTCAGGAAGCTGGATACGCGTTGGTACAATTCATGAACCATGGGTTATTCATCAATGCAGTACTGTAAATTGCTTCTGCGGGAAGCACGGATTTCCAAACAAACTACAAGCATTTGGAGTGTAGTATTGGGAAGATGTTCAATAATGTAGGCTTAAAAGTGTAGGAATATCAGTTAGAAATATTACGATGGATGATGTGAATAAATCTCTTTTTGAGACAGCTATACGGTTGCGTCGACGTCACATATCGATGCTAATCACTTCAAAGATCACAGTGTTGGTGTTGCTGTATTTACACCCATTTCGGTTTTCGAGCTAGCTCGTGATTATTAAAGGCTGTAAGTACTCGCCCCCAGCTTGCATCCTCCAACCACGCCAAGAACCAGCTTTGAAAGCGAGTACTGACTGGTGTTGTTTCCACCAGACTTTGAAGTCTGGCGCCCTTCAGTGTCGGGCACACTCCTCGTACAAGGCGGGAAACTTCCAAGCCGACGAGTAGATGCGGCTGAACTCTTCGGCCCCTAACCTCAGGTTGGCTGCTAATTTTTTGTGCATATCCGCACACAGTTGCCCAATTTTCTGTCGTACCACTAGGTAGCAGCAAGTCTAAACCTACGATGCTTCGACTGCGCGCTGCGAATGGCTCTGTCATTCCTACCTCTGGTACGCGACAGCTAATGGTCAACCGTAGGAACCGAAGGCAGTATCTGTGTACGTTCATCTTTGCTGATGTCCCCACAGCTATACTTGGTTCGGATTTCCTACAGCATTATGAATAGCTAGTCGATTCACGTAGGCTGCAGCTAATCGATACTTGGTCGAACAGCAAATTTATGGGGTTTCTAGCTCAAACAGGTGTGTGTATTTCATTCGCGTGATGAAATATTCCACGCTTTACTAGAAAAATTATTACAGCAAACTAAATCACTCGAGAAGGC